TTGTGATTTCTGGTTTGCTCAAAGACAACAGGAGCATCTCCCATTCTCTCCTACATTCTCACACATGCACAAGTGTCTGGAGGGAATAGATAAACACAGTGTAGTGTAGCTCTGGGAGAAGAAAGTCCTTCACACTCTTCTGTGCTTCTGTGAAGCGCTATGTGATGTACTGCCAAGAGAGCCACTGCTAGTAGATTTGGACACAAATGTCAGAGATTTCGGAGCCATATGCACCACACTTCTGTTTCTGAGGGACTGATCCATCTGAGGAACACAATGTATCTTTCTTTGTTTTCAGTTTTGCTGAAAATTTTAAAAACTTTCAGGTTTAAATGGGGGAGATCACAGATTTTCACCTGTAAAACAAGAGGCATTCTACACCTGATACCAAAAGATTATCTTTTTAAAATCTTGTTTTGTAAAGAAGAATTATAAGAAAATATTTTTGGAAAAAAAATATATATATATATTTTTAGAATATGCCTATAAAATGTTCTTTTGAATGCCACTGATTTTCACTGTATGGACAAAAACTGTTAAAACATTCTTCTAAATCTTTTTTTTATGAAAAAATGAATTTATCATTAAATTAATAAATGAATTATCATTATTAAATCAAGTTAATAATTGAAAATGTATCATTATTAAAGTAATATCATGTATATGATAAATAAATATATTATTATTTATTAGTATAATATACATTTTAATATAATTATTCAATCAAATTAATAATTTGGATTTATTAAATAATAGTGTAATTATAATAAATTCAGTATCATATTATATAAAATATGTATATGTATAATATTTAAATCAATATTAGTATATTAGAATTAAATTAATATACTAATATTATGTATAAAATATATTTAATATTAATATTCTTATTTACAAAGCAGAATAAAAAAATATTTTGAAAAATATCTTAGTCTTCTTTTGTTGTTGTCATCGTTTGTTTTGTTTTGTCTTGTTTTTACTATACAAAACTCCACAGACATTTCCTCTGGACAAAACAGTCTTGAAACAGTCTTCAAAATATCTTTTCCGTGTTACAAAAAAGAAAAAGTCATACAGGTTTGGAACGCCATGAGGGTGAGCAAACAATGACGTCATTTTCATTTTTGGCTAAACTGCCCCTTTATTCTTCACATACTTTCTGAATGTCTCTGAGTTTCCACGGTAACACTAAAGCTGTTTGCATGTGCGTAGGACAGTGTTTTTTTTCCACCGTATGGTTTTTGTTTTCTGCTTTTAGCATATAAAAGTGCAACTTTGGTCTCATCTGAGCCACACAGCAGATGCCCGGTATCTCCTCAGACCTCGGTGGAGTATTAAAGCAACAATAAACACAAACAGAGCTGCTTTCTTTATACGATTAAGATATGAAGATATCAGCTTTGACTTAAGGCATAATGACTGAGTAAACAGTCATTACCTCATTTGGAATTCAGAAAAAGTGGGAAATCTGATTGTTGAGACTCAAGGGTGTTTTTTTTGCGCAATATGATTCAGTAACTGCACAGTAATATATAATTTCTGTAAAAACATATAATAACACACAGTGTTGATTATTGATTATTTCCACCCTGGATACAAACAAACATACCTTATCTGTTACCAGGAGGATTTGAAATCAAATAGATATGTCTGGAAGCTAATATTTTAGGGTGTGTTTATCTGAATAAGAATGCATATGGATACACGTTATTAGCTTCTGGTGTGTGTGTGTGTGTGTGTGGTTTGTTTTCTTCATGTTGGCAAGAGGGAGTGTTTATCACTGCCAACAAGCCATTCAGAGGCCTGCATGGGTGACAGAGGCGGATTGGCATGGTGACGTGTTATGACAGACGGCCAGCTTTGAGCGAGTGTAGCTGTAAACCAAACACAGACATGCTGACTGCTGTATAAACACACAGAGAAAGATAAGAAAGATTGATGATAAATATATATCTGGAGAGACACACACACACATATATGCACAGCAAGCACATATTCTCATAAACCCCTTTAGTTCAACACATGCATTATGCAGTGCAGCTCCATTTAACTAATAGTTGGTTGTGCTTAAGGGACATATTTCCTCTCTTCCTGAATGAAGATCTCTGTCTTAGGTAGGTCACATGCATCTATTCCATTTGGTCCTCCTGTCAGCCCCTTTCAGCATCCTTTGCTAGTCTTCAGGTACTGTATAGAATACTGCTTTCACTATTTTTGCATCATGAAAAACACATACTGTGCACAGTATGTGAAGTTTCTGTTTGATTGATTGATTGATTGATTGATTGATTGTGATTGGACTGCCAAACATTAGAACATTTTTCTATTTGACTAAATCAAATGGGGGGGGGGAAATATTTTATTAAATTAATAATCAATTAAATAATTTTTATATAAAATACTTCCCCCCCCCCCCATTTGATTATGTAAATAAAAAATTTTTTTAATTAAATAATTATTAACAATTATTAAATGAATATCTTAAAATTTATAAATCTGTAGTATTTAAATTAACCAATATTAATGTACGATCATTAAATTTAGTATTTCCTATTATCTATCTTGTTTTACAAAGCATTGTTTTGGCTTTTTTGCCACTTTTATTAAAATAAAAACTGCAATAGTAATGGGAAAATACATATGCCGGATTTGAGCTCATGCCCACATTGTTCACATGATGTAATAACCACAATGCCATGGCTCTGACCATATACAACACACAAAAAAGTATGCAGTTATACTGCATGGCCTGCAGTAGCAAGTAGGTTAGAATTATATTCCAAACACACCCTCTTTGGTGCATCTTATATTTTTTCTTGTCACGACAGTTGCACCAGGGTCTGGGAGGATACGGAGGCTTTGAAAAGCCTTTAGACAGAGAGATTTGATATGTTGTGTTGGGACTGGAGAGCTTTATTCATATTGCTCTGTTATAAAATGTGCTTTTCATCAGAGAGAGCACATGCAGAGACAAGCACGGATGGAATCATCAATAAGGAATTATCGCATTTAATCCTTTGCAACATGCTGTATCTATTTGTCATGAGCGCATATTGTGTGGTATTTTTCAAACCAAGATTCCCCTCATCAATATTCACAAATCTCAAGTTTTCATCATTAATCTCTCAGAGTTCCCTTTTGACAGCAATAATGAAAGGATTGGTGTAACACCAGCTGTAGCTCCATCTTATCAGTTATTGCATGTGTAACTCAAGCCCAACAGATGTCTTTGTTCAAATAATGCATGAGTTGTTCACTCCATTACATTTCATGTTGGAACAACATGGGGGTTAGTAAATGATGACTGAATTTTTAAGTCTTGATCAGAGAATATAAAGTTTAAACACCTGTATATTGTCATTGTGTGTGTGTGTGTGTGTGTGTGTGTG